ATTTGATTTGATTTGATTTGATGTATAAGGAAGGCTCCTCACATTATGCATTATTTTTAAACCAGTTGTTAAACTGCATTTTTGTGCAAATGTACAATGGGAGAGCAGACACTTTAGGTTTGACTCATTCATATATAGTAAAGTGTTATTTGTGCATCTAAATGTGCCTGGAGAGTCCCCTCCATAATTATCTGAACAGACACATCATAGCACACAACTCCTCAAGGTTGAGCATTATCACACAGCAGAAATGAGCATTTATAAATTATTTTACTTACTTTTTTACGCTGTTCAGTACCAGGTGCATGTGAGCACTTTAACAGCTGCACACCTGAGAAAAAAAATAGCCCTTGTCATTGCACCAACCTGCCAAAAGCCCGACCAAGAAAAGAGTGTTATGTGGGGAAAAAGCGACAAATACTTAATAGTTAAAACGATATTTTTGTCTAGGCCGTGGATGCTTCATTATTGGTGAATGTGTTTAAACCTGCTTCCGTTGGCCAGCGCGCAGCCGCAGAGTGACGTAACACTTTGCTCGGCAACTTTAACACTAGGAAGTGAAAATGGTAAATCGTGGGTTTATATCTTTACACTTTGTGTTCGGACTGGGAGTTTTTCAGCAAGGTGAGAAAGAGATGAAACACTTGTATTGTCCTATGCAGTTCTGTTTTACTAACACTGAAAACTGTTGTGTGGTTCCTGTACGTTCAGTTGTAACCTATGTTCGCCATAATGAGCGGTAATTATGTATCAATCTGTTTAATTCGTAGTTAATCTCATGTTGCGCAAAGGGAGAAAAACGTTAACAAATCCGACCTCATCATTACGCTGGGCTTTAATATTTAGTCTATTACATATAATAATGGAAGTACGCCCGCACACCTACAGTTTCGCATCTGTCTTTTCCTTCAGGTGTGACAGCTGTGATACAAACCCAGCAGACTGTGTTGGCAGCAGTGGGAGAAGAGGCCAGTCTGAACTGTCAGCTCCTGGAAACTAAAGATGTTGTTCAAGTCACATGGCAGAAAATTTCACCTGAGAAGAAGAATCTCGCCACCTACAGCAAATACTCTGGTCAATGGGTGAATTCTGACAAAATTGAGTGTAACCTCTAGAGTCCTGAGCTTTGGAAACCCAAGCTGTGCGGTCCTCATATGAGGACGCAGGGACTCTAGAGTTTAAAGAAACTGGTCTGCAGAGCAGCGCCATAATTGTCAGAAATGTAACGCAGCAGGATGAAGGCTGCTATTCATGTCTGTTTAACACCGACCCTGACGGTGCTCTGATAGGTAGAACCTGCCTCCAACTTTATGGTAAGGATCTTAGCAAATTACAGTTTTAACCTCATGCCTCATTCAGACAAACATCCTGGACACAGCAGCAGCTGACTCCTACTCTCCTGGTTCCTGCCATTAGCCTGTCTACTCCCCTGGTCGTCCTGGTCTCCTCCACCATCTCTACTCCACCCGGATTGTACATGTACATGGACCCTGTTATGTTGTTACTTTGTATTTTTGCTCCATTAAACCCTTTTCTTTTCACTAGCACCTGGGTCTGCAATCTTGAGTCCTACCATAGTGGACAAGCCCACAGGCTTTCATTAGATTTGTTGCCTTTTTGGCTTATTATTCCCTCTGAGCTTTGAAGCCAGGGGAGTTAGGGTTTGATAAGATACTAAGATTTACACCAAGGTTATAGTCAGATTTTGGCCTAGAAGAAACGGCTGCCTGGTAAAATAGCTATTTTCACACAGGCAGTGTCAGGTCTTCCTCCCTCTCTAGGTAACTGTCTTTATTCATTGGAGCAGAAGGGACCTTGGGAATGGATGGATGGACCAATGGAACAGCACGAGAGGCACCAGGTCAACCTGCTTTTGCACATTTCAAAAATTGTATAAAAGATTGGGTTCCAGGAAGAAAGGCATTCCTCTGTCCCGAAGTCAGATTGAACAGTTTTGCTGTTTAGGGTCAGGGCTTCAGATAGAGACGGAACCCAGAGCTCTGTAAATTGCTTTATTCGATAGTCTATTCAATTGTGATAATAAATGTTTAAAATTGATACTTGACTCCGATTATTCTTCATAAAAGAACACGCTGCACTTTCTATTCGTTAAAGCTGCAAAACGAACAGTTGACATCTCCAAAACGGTTTTCATACGTGAAACGGTGTCAGTGCTTTGTCCATAATGTCGCCTAAGAAAGGGGACCACATTTGAACTTTGGTCAGTTTTCATGTTTAGGAAACGTTTCCATGTCAGATGGCTGAACATCTGGATGTAGAACATTAGTGACACTCCACATTTATAAATGATTTACTTGTAGAGCCTCTGTACACTGCAACTGTTCTCATATACAGTATGTACCCACATTTATAAATGATTTACTTGTAGAACTTGTTGTACACTGCAACTGTTCTCATATACAGTATGTACTGATAGTGACGGTGGACGAAAACGACAGTACTTTGTGAGGGAGTGGACTGAACAAACGCGCGGTGCAGTAGGGGACAGTTAGGCGCTGTAAATAATGTTTTAAAGCAAAATAGTAATGTTTAGTAAAATCCTCTGTTTTTTAGACAACTCGATAAATCACGTTATATCACATATAAAGGCATATAAATATTCTAGTGATCATTTTTTATGTTAGTTTCACAATGACACCCACCTGCACAGAAACTTGGTCTCGTCCAACATTACACCTGTGTTTATGATTCTGAGTTTGATTTTTTTAGCGCGCACCCTCCTGCACAGAAACTTGGTCTCGTCCAACATTACACCTGTATCGATAATTCTGAGTTTTAATTTTCAGCACGCATTCAGTAACAATGGGAAACGGTGCGGTCCTGTGTCTGCTTTTTCTGTTGGCGGTCTTTTCAAACGGTAAGAAAAATAAGTTGTGTTATGGAAACACGTTTCAGTTGGTGTTAAAATTGTTTGCTGCAGACGAACTGCCGACTTTCATCACAGTGGCCTTGTTAGGAACATTATCTTAAAGTTGATTATCTTTAGTTTGGCTGACTGATAAATAACTGCACATTATGTATTTTTTGCATTTACCCTCTCGTCAGCTGCTATTAGCTCAACTGGTTTAGCCCGCAGAATTTCTCTCACAGCACCTGTTATATCGATATTGTTTTAAAACCAGCTTGGAAAATCCCAAACTAATTCCTTTAACTTGTTACATCTGCCTACCCCTGCATCTAACGCTGCTTATTGTGAGATGCAAATGTGATTGTTTTTTTTTTTTAGTTATAAAGCCTATTTTAGAATGTGTGAGCTAGAATCATAATATAAATATTACACTGCAGATGTAATTAAAACAGAATTGTGAAGCTTGAGAAAAAATGTATTTAAATTTTACATCTACTGTTTCTTGTATCGGTCTTAAGACTATTATATACTGTAAATGTGAATGACGAGTATTTCCAAAATAGGATAATTACTAAAATTATATCATGGCAGCCATTTTACAGTGCAATAAGACAAAAGAAGGTACTTAAAAATGTTTGAAAAGTAAGTTAACCTTGAAGATTATAGGAATATCTAATATGTCACTATCTACAGGCATTTAAAACGTGTTATCCCTATCCAGGTGGCTCAAAGTTGCAGGGTTGGGATTACTTGGATTGGATCAGAAAATCAAATCCAAGCCTTAATCTGGATCAAATCATCTCAGGTCGTTTAAAACAAAACAACAGGATTGGAATCAGTTTTATCAAAAGAATCTCAATCATCATGAACCCACCAGAGGGGTGGATTACTAGTGGAATACCAGAGCAAAATGTATTGGAAATTTAGTTTAAAAATATGTTTCAATATAAATAGGATGACAAGGTTTGTAAATTTAAATAATACATCATCTGTAGCTGCTTTGCTTTGAGATACCAGGACAAAATCTGGCTGAGTTGTCTGATCCTGGATCACAAATTTTTGATTTCCAAATCTGATTGAGGTTCAAGGTTTTGAGCTCCTGGGCCCAGAAGATAAAAGGATTTTGGTATGAAAGTCTACGTCCTTAATTTAACCACATATCTTTAATCATGTGTTTTGTAACAAACCAAATTGCTGGATAATCAATTCAGTGACTTATGATGACTTAAAAAAAATCTGTATTTTTTTTAAACTAACACATGAACACACAAGAAAAGAACACATGAACTTGCCCCAACCCTCCTCCCATCCCACCCCACCCTGTGTGTGGACTGATGAACTGAAGATATTTTATGAAAAAGAAAAAACTTCAGTCACAAGGTCCATGTGACTGCAAATATAGGTCTTTTATTGAGCTTATTTTGTCCATCCAGAACTCTACTACTGTAATTCAGGGGAAGATGAATTTTATCCTAGCAGCTGAAAGATCCTGATATAGAATTTCCAAGAGTGCAATATGTCATGACTGTGTTGTCAAATTGTGTGGAAGGATCCAGGCCACCTGCCTTTATGGGCATGCATTAGATGGTGCAGCCTCCCTGCAGCCGTATGGGCTGGTGAGTTATCTAACCTATGTGTTTACAGAGTGTAACCTGGTATAATGTCAGATTTTGACCACTGAACAATAACGATCTGTTACAGAACAGCCTGGCTTAAAATTTTCATATCAACTCTCATATTTCAGCAACTCCACTTCAGGCTAGGTGGTCATTTTATTCTCTCTGCAGTTCAGTGGTTTAAAAATTCATATATGCATATTTAAAGTCATATAATTGCAAAAAAAAAAAAAACCCAAACAAAAAACATTAACAAATCTGACTTCATTACTGAGGTGGACTTTTGGATTCTAGGACTTTAATGCAGTAGTAATAATAATGGCCCATTAAAGTGCACACACACTCAGTCAAAGCCCAGGCTTACTGTAGCTGCACTGGTTTAGTTCTAGTTTTAAGGATTGTCACGCTTCGTACAGATGTCTTCAGAAAGTTTTATTTTTCTCTCTCTGTGTTTCCTCAGACACCGTGAAAACTACAGACGAAGTAACGATAAAGAATCTTAAATATGTACAAATACAGGCACATGAACACCATTAAGCACAAATACAACATATGTACACCTCACCGTTTGCGCCTCTAAAACCATGTGCAGAAAATAACTTTGGGGCTGTATGTCTCTTCTCAGTCCATGTTGTCTCTGTCCCATAATGCCACATTGGCGCCCTCACTCAACTCCAGTCACATGGCTGACACACTGCCCTTCAAAATAAACTTCTCTACCAACAAAAGTAATACATTTCTCAGATCTTCTCATCTCTGCTAACACTTAACATCCCATTCATGATATTTCAACCAATTCCTCAATAGTAATAATAACTCATGATTAATAACAAACATAAACCCACATCTCAAATGAAACCTGTCATTTGGACAGTTACACTTACCATCTTTTCCTTCAGGTGTGACAGCTGTGATACAAACCCAGCAGACTGTGTTGGCAGCAGTGGGAGAAGAGGCCGGTCTGAACTGTCAGCTCCTGGAAACTAAAGATGTTGTTCAAGTCACATGGCAGAAAATTTCACCTGAGAAGAAGAATCTCGCCACCT